CATGGGGCCTGTTACTTTTATAACGTCTGCCAGGGGGCTTTCAATGTCACTGGCTTATTCGTCCGCCTACCTGTCCTTGAAGTGTGCCCACTTTGCATGTCTGTTTGAGAAACACTGGACTGGTAATTTGACTGGTCAAATGTAGTTCTCCCTAATGTTGACGTTGATTTAACTCCACCATCTCCGACTTAACAATTTCCTGGTCATTGGAAGTGTGCTCACTTTGTGTGTCAGTTTAAGAGCCACTGGAATGGTAAAATGTAGTTCTCCCTAATGTTGACGTTGATTTAACTCCACCATCTCCGACTTAACAATTTCCTGGTCATTGGAAGTGTGCCCACTTTGTGTGTCAGTTTGAGAACCACTGGAATGGTAAAATGTAATTCTCCCTAATGTTGATTTAACTCCACCATCTCCGACTAAACAATTTCAGTTGTCCCATTCCGAACTTAACTCGAGATAAGGGCAGTTAATCCTGGAATGAACAACAAAGTCTTACTTAGGCCTAAAAGGTAAATAATCTCTTTTGTTAATAGCTTCCCCTGTTTAAGCCGTTGGCAAGGAAACATAAACAAAAAAAAAAGCACGTGCCAATGGTTTGGCGCGCGCGGCTTAGAGACCACGGAGCTGTGTTTGCTATCGTTTCTTTACGTGTAGGTAGTACAAATAGTATGCCGTCGTTACTTTAGTTGTAGGTAACGGGTTGGACAAATAGTAGTGTGTATGTAGTACGGTAATAAAAGATTTATATATTTAATCATAACAGGGTTAAGAGAAACGGGGCCCTGGTCAAGGGGATGCACTCGAGCGCCTACTCATCTCCAAATCGTTCAAGTATCTACTACGTAAAGCTAATTGTGACTCCGCTGCTTTGTAAATGTTTTGATTAATCACAAGAAAACCAAACAATGGATCACAACCAAATATACAATGCCATTCCCCATTTTCCCTCAAGCTGTAAATCAGTCGGCCTATGGACCTTTCCATAGCACTGAGACAGCTCTCTTGAGCGTCACCAATGACCTCTTGCTCGCATTGGACAGCGGTGATATCTAGGTTTCTTGATGAGTCGGTTTATGCGGTGTTTAATATCAGACGTTGCGGGAGAGCATTGATGATGTCAAGACAGGGATGACACTCAGCAAGTTGAAGCGTACGATGACGAAACGGAAGCACTCCTTATTCACGATCACAAATCATCCTCTAACTCTGCTCTCCCCACTTCATTTCATGTAGGTCACTCCGATATACAGTTTACCTTCTCCGCCAGGAATCTTGGTTATGTACTGTTTCACAACATGTCTCTCGATAATCATGTCTCTCACATTTGTCGCTCTGCATACACCGCCATTCGTCAGATCAGCTCCATCCGCCAATACGTCACAGTTAGTGCAACAAAAACCATAGTCTGTGCTCTTGTTCTCTCGTCTTGACTACTGTAACTCTCTTCTATCAGGTTCACCAAAACACTTCTTAGAAAAATTACAAAAGGTTCAAAACTCAGCTGCTAGGCTAGTTCCAAAAGGCAAAAAAAAACAACAACAAAAAAAAAACGTGATCACGTCACACCACTACTTCATTCCCTTCATCGGCTCCCTGTACAAGCACGGATTGACTAGAAACTCTCTGTTCTCTGTCACAACTTTTTCTCGAATTTCTCCCCTTCCTATCTAACCGAACTTCTCTCTGTCTATTCACCCCTTCGACAGCTTCGCTCCTCCGAAGACGCGCGTATTCTTTCTGTCTCCAAGACTCGCACTAAAACATACGGTGAACGATCTTTCTCTTTCAGTGCACCCAAACAATGGAATTCTCTTCCATGACACATCCGCAATATACCGACCATCACAGCCTTAAAAACTGCACTCAAAACACATCTCTTTAAACTCTACTATCCTGACTGATTCCCACCTCTGACCGAAAAACGATGCTGCTGGGTGTCGTCCATGGCTTGACATGGAAATAGTTTTAAATATACATTTGTTTTGTTTCATTTAATAAATGTATGTTAATTACTTTAAGTTTTTGATTATATTTTTTTAAATTGTATGTATAGCGTGGTGAGCCCGCCACTAGGCTGGGGGTGCCACGCTATATAAAACAACGTATAATAATAATAATAATACAATCTTTAAGAATTTTTTTTTTAAATCGTAAAGTACAATGCAGAGGGTTAGAGAAATACTTTCAGGATAATTTATTTTTTGGTGGGTGCATTTTAATTTTTAAAAAATAATTTTTTTTTTTTTTTTTTCCAAAAATGACGCGCTTTCCAACATGTGTGAATGGCGTGTTTGAATTTTAAAAAAAAATCCCCTTCAGTGTTAGTGTCCAAATTTCTTGTTTTTCAGTTTTTGTTTTTTTTTAAATGAGCTGTATAAATAAAATCAATAACTTATAGATAGGAAAATGTCATTAAATTAGATTTAAAGACATTTTTTAAATTTCTAGTAAGTTCCAAATGAACGTAGGAGGCACTACAATGTTGTTTTTTTCCCTGAACAAAGCCTAAAGCTATTCAAGAAGGCTCATGTTACACGGGCTTCATTTCAGGGTTTTTTTCGGGGTGGGGAGGGGGGGGGGGCAAAACCAAAACTTGGTGGGCTTGATAAGTTATTTATTACTGGAGGCGCCCCGCAGTACATAACAATTTAAATAAATCCTGCGAAGTCGAGGGAGGGAAGGGGGGTGGGGCAGAAGGACTCCCTGTCACGGGACAATGTAACTTGTTGCATCTATGGGCCAAAAGTCGTTTGTTTAAAACCAGCTCATATACTGTAGAAATGAGAAAACAATATGTCTGTTTGTGCCAAATTTGTTTCTACCGATTTTAATGGGAAAATTTAACACACAAAAAAACAAAAAAAAAAAACAACAACAAAAAAAAAAACAACTTTGTACGTTATCTAACTTGAGAAGTCGCCGTTGTATAATATTCAAGATTAAATTCTTTTGGTTCCAGAGGTCCTCGCTAGTAAAAATTTAAAGGCAACATCTTTGCAAAATTCCTAAAGATTTTTAAAACTTAACTTAAATAATTTATCTGAATTATTTTTATAGTGCCCCGATCTTATAATAGGGATCACTGAAATGACCCTTTTTGGAAATGAGAATCCTACTTTTTTTTTTTATAAATTGAAAAAATGGCCAAAGCTTTAACACGGAGGAATACTTTTTTTTTTAAATTTTATTATTTTTTTTTGTTTTGTTTAAATAGCCATCTTTTTAAAGTTAGATTTTTCTTGAAATCCTGGTTTTTGGCTGTTTCCGGCTTGGAAACTAACTGAGACGGAGTGTGTCCCATATTTAGGCTAATTTTTTACATGAGCTATTACAACTCTTTATTTGTATAGAACTTTTTAATTGGTACCTTAGCTACAGGTATGCAAATATTTGACAGGGTCCCAAATTTACGTATAGGCCAATAACGTTGTAGCAGTTTTATTTCCGGATACAAACCCAAGTCAAGCCGGGTACATCGGCTAATTGCTAATACTGCGAAGACGACACTGGCTGGTCGTACAAATGAGCGTCTGTCATGCTTAAGTGTATGGCACTAACGGGTTTCTACGGCGGTGACGTCATTGACATAGTACAACGAGGTATGCCGAAGCCTGAATCAAAAGACAGGACCATACGACGTGGACGTTTCGGTTTAGAGGCGTCATTAAGTCTGGGGGTCACACAGTGCAGGAAACTCAATGTGTCCCCTTCCAGAATCCACCACCCCCACCCCTGACCAGAACCTCCTAAGTTCCTTGTAACGGAGCGCACATAATGGCCAATAGGACAATTAACGACATCGGGCAGACAATGACTTGGTAAATGTGGCACATATAACGACATTAGGCGCAAAAACTGAATTACATTTGTCATACAGTAAATGCTTGTGCTAAAAGTAATATGATGCCTTAATTGTAAACATGGTTTAAAAAAAAAAAAAATTCAACAAGTCCTTCTTATTATTCTTGTCATTTTGTGAGTCGGGACATGTCCTGGTTGGGCCTGCATGTAAAGATACCCGGGCGGTGCCCTGGCGCGACTACACCACTGGGTGAGCAAAAGATCACCTCATGGGTATGTTCCAAGACAATTACAGAAGTCGATAGCGGCCCTTGGTTTGTCCACCTTAGATCCATGATCCAGCACTGTATGGGTGCTTAACGTTTAAAAGGACATATGGGGGTCGCACAGTGCGGGCAAAAAAAAAATCACTTAAAAAAACTACTTTAGTATTTGGGGTGTCATTTTTGTAAATACTTTTAAATTCAAATTCTTTTAATTTAAACGTTTTTTTTTTAAATTAAAAATTGTCGTGAAAGACATAATTTCAACAAATACTTAAATTATGTCTCACCGCGCGTCTGATTTTAAACAGCGGCCGAGTTTCTTACAAACTTTATCAAAGAAATTAAAAACTTGAAATCTGGGAAAAGGCTTTAAATAGAGAAATCCTAATCACAAAGTGGTTAGTTGACTATAAGTTTCTTTCGTTTACTTTACTTTTGTTGGCTGATTTACAATAAAGGACTCGGGGGATGAGAGTTTTTTTTTGTTTTTTTTGGTAGCTGAGTGCTAAAAATAGAAATAGCATCGTGTCCATCACAATAGATTTGAGCTTCTCATTGAAAGAGATGAACCAATTCGTGAAGCACGCGTTCCTTTAGTCCAGTGGTTCTTTACCTTGTTTCTTCCACGGACCCCATTTGCCTGTCAGTCGAAGGCCACGGACCACTACGTAGAATGAAGTTTTTCAATGCATAAAATAAAATTACAAAGTAAACGCAGCCCGACCGACCATCCGACAACTTTTCGCGGACTCCCCTGGGGGTCAGTAGAACACAGGTTATGAGCCCCTGCTTTTGTCACTTACTTAGGTGTGTTCATTTTCATTATGGATGTGTTTTTAAAAAAAATAAACTCGGTTACTAGCCACTCGGAATGACAATCAAATTTTCTGCGGTGTTAAAAAATGTTTGAGTTATAGTTTTCAAACTGGATTTTAGTTTAACTTTTGTTGTTGTTGTTGTTGCAATAGATGCCGGTGTAGAGCATTGTGTCTAATACACTAACAAACCTACACTATTCGTTTTATTGTATTGTGATACGTTGGTTTGTCTTCTCGATCCCCCAACGGGAATGAACTAAACGCAGTACATGTTAAAATAAATAAATAATAATAATAATAATCAATAAGAAGCTGATAATTTTTATAATTATTTTTTTAAAAAAATATTTTTTTTACAAAAAAATATTAAAATATACAAACTACGGAAAAGCTGCAATGGAACTTAAAAATTGTGTTGGTGTTTTGGCTAAATATTCAGTGATTTCCCTTGTTGCCGGATGTCTCCTACTCAGTGTGGCGGTGTGTCAGGATTTTAGCACATGTAATTATTTTATGCACACGTGTTACCAAATTACTTTGACTTTTTCAAATTTATGTGTAAATTTAAAAAAAAATATGTATTACCGGTACATGGTTATTTTTAAGTTCTTGTTTTTAAAAAAACAATGAGTTAACTAGCCAAGTTCATACTATTTAAACTTCTTTCAACAATTTGAATTCCTTATTTTGAAATGTTTTTATTTCTTTAAAAAGAAACCGAAAACAGACATATAACAACGCACGTTAATCTCAAGTAATTAAACCATTACCCCCCCCCAACCACCACCCCCCCCCCCATGACCAAAATGACTAACAAATTATTTAAGTATTTGACGAGGACTATCTACCCCTCCCCCTTCCCCCAATGTGATGTCATTTTATGAAATTTCATTACATCAACGGTTGCAAAAAAAATAAATATTTATTTGGACTTNTTTCTTTTTTTTTTTTTTTTTTTTTGGTTATGGAAGGGGGGGGGGGTCAAGAGATAATCCTTCCAGTCTCAGTATCCAATATTTTTGCGCCCAGTGAGTGGCACATTCAAAGTATGGGGAAATTACCCTCGCTTGTTATTTTTAGAAGAAAGTAGACCACACGATATCAATGAGTTGAACATTGTCATTGAAAACTCTTGAACCTACTTTGGTGCACTCTCTGCCTTGTTTCTTTCACTTTGGTGCACTCCTTGCCGTGTTTCTTTCACTTTGGTGCACTCTCTGCCTTGTTTCTTTCACTTTGGTGCACTCTCTGCCTTGTTTCTTTCACTTTGGTGCACTCTCTGCCTTGTTTCTTTCACTTTGGTGCGCTCTCTGCCTTGTTTCTTTCACTTTGGTGCACTCTCTGCCTTGTTTCTTTCACTTTGGTGCGCTCTCTGCCTTGTTTCTTTCACTTTGGTGCACTCTCTGCCTTGTTTCTTTCACTTTGGTGCACTCTCTGCCTTGTTTCTTTCACTTTGGTGCACTCTCTGCCTTGTTTCTTTCACTTGGTGCACTCTCTGCCTTGTTTCTTTCACTTTGGTGCACTCTCTGCCTTGTTTCTTTCACTTTGCTGCAGTCTCTGCCTTGTTTCTTTCTTTTTTGTGCACTATCACTTTGGTGCACTCTCTGCCTTGTTTCTTTCACTTTGGTGCACTCTCTGCCTTGTTTCTTTCACTTTGGTGCACTCTCTGCCTTGTTTCTTTCACTTTGGTGCACTCTCTGCCTTGTTTCTTTCACTTTGGTGCACTCTCTGCCTTGTTTCTTTCAGCCTCCGGTGGATTGTGCAGCACCCGAGACCTTTACCTGTACGGTGCTTGCCGGCCACAGGCGTGCCTGGGAAACGAGACAGTCCTTCCCGGCATTTCGTACTGTGACGTCCACACCCGGACTCTTGGCGTGAGATACGTGCGATGTGTCGTTAACTTGCGTGAGTACTAAATGTTCGTTGTCGCTAAAAAAAAAAACAAAAATAAAACAAGTTCATTAACTCGCTAAAATCTTTATGACCTCGCGAAACAGAAACAAACAGTCTCATAGAGATACGACTGCTTAATTCACAGATACAGACTTTAAACGAAAGAACTAAATAAAATTGTCTATATACCAAAATGTTGAATGACTTTGTCTTGTGAATGATTTGAACGCATTTAAGGAATGTATCAATATGAAATAGTCTTTAGTTACAGGTGGCATTAAAAAAAAAAAAAATCTACCTAAGGGAAGCTTTGAGTGAAGATTTTGATCGGAGGGATTTGATTTGAAACTAGCCTGGCCTGGCCCCGCCCCTTGCAGTGTTGAACAGTAGCAGTTCCTCGAGTTTTCTTTTAAAATATAGGTTATCAAGAACACGTTTGGTCTGGTTCTATCCAGTATTAATTGTAATTTTTATTTTTAAACATCATTAAGTTAATTTCGGCTCCCAAATCTTAACGGAATATATTTTTTTGTTTCTAAATTTCTAACCTCGTCATCATTCCCGTCTAGACAATGAAGTATCCCAAAATTTAACTGTGTATCTAAGGTTCTATCAAGATCCATTATCCCATGGATAAAACTTATGCGGCGAGATAAACTGACATATTTTCTCATGTTTCTAGTTTATAAATATTATAACAGGAAGATAAACATTCCGAATCTTCAGGAGAGATTTTTTTTTTTTTAAATTTAAAGCATTCAACTAATTTAAAATCACCATTTACCTAGTGGCGTATACCGGTATGACGTTGTATAGTGTGTCTATTGTTCAGCGTCCTGCACCGTCTTGAACTCCAGCACCGCTTTGTCATGATCTGATGATAGTAACACCACCGTGTCATGATCTGATGACAGTAACACCGCCGTGTCATTATCTGATGACAGTAACACCGCCGTGTCATGATCTGATGACAGTAACACCGCCGTGTCATGATCTGATGACAGTAACACCACCGTGTCATGATCTGATGACAGTAACACCGCCGTGTCATTATCTGATGACAGTAACACCACCGTGTCATGATCTGATGACAGTAACACCACCGTGTCATGATCTGATGACAGTAACACTGCCTTGTCATTATCTGATGAGAGTAACACCGCCGTGTCTTTATCTGATGACAGTAACACCACCGTGTCATGATCTGATGACAGTAACACCACCGTGTCATGATCTGATGACAGTAACACTGCCTTGTCATGATCTGATGACAGTAACACCACCGTGTCTTTATCTGATGACAGTAACACCACCGTGTCATTATCTGATGACAGTAAAACCATCTATAGGCCTATACAGGTCAGGAGGAATGGGCAGGTCAAATTTGGTCGTGACCCATTGTTTGGTTTTCTTGTGATTGATCGACCCATTTACAAACCAATATGTCCACACTAAGGTTTATATAGTGGTGGTAGTAGATATGACAGCTTAGCTGCTTTGACCTTTGACACGTCCACTTACTTTACAGCGTGTTGCGTGTGGCGTGGCACGTGCAGACAAGTTTGTGGTGGAAATGAAGACCGACTTACGTTGCTGACAGAGTGTGGCGCGCGCTCTGAGGTCTGCTGTTTGCCAAGAGGCGGGACAGCTTCTAGAACGACCGTCAGCGCACCGGAGCAAAGAATTTCCGGGGGGCAGGGGCGTAAGTACACAAAGGTCTCACTTTCCCCAGAATATGGGGGGGGGGGGGGGNCATTATTTTATTATTTATTTAAAAAATGATTGATTTATTATTTTATTGATTTATTTTTTGTTGGGGAATCAAACAAATCTAATTACATCTTATTTTAGTAGGGATAGATGTGATGTCCTATGATGAATTCAGGAATGAGAAGATATCCCAGGTGTTCATCAAGGTGATTGGCTGAATCGGGGATTTTAAAGAATACAGCTCCATGGCCCCTGGCCTGCCAGACCTTAGATGACCTTTTGAAATAGGGCCGCAAAAAAAGCACAAGCTTCGCTCCGGGTCAAAACCTGAATTTCAACGAATTCTCCCCCCCCCCCCCGCCCCAACCCCCCAAAGTACCGGGAAAAAATTATAGAAAAAATTGGTGAAACAAAAAAATTCTGCCTGAAATATATTTTGAGCGCAATTAACGCTGCCCTGCCCTGCCCTGCCCTCATCATAGACCTTATTCGACAAGTAATTAAATGGTGGCGTATTTTAACAAAAAATAAAATTATATGACCTAATTTGTAGAGTGTGCGGCCAGCAATGCGGTCGTCCCAAGGATTATCGGGGGCGGTGTCGCCCAGCCCACAGACTGGCCGTGGATGGTGCGACTGGTGTACGCCGAGGACCCAAGGAGCGTGTGCGCCGGGGTGCTGGTGGATGACGACACGGTGGTCACTGTGGCTCATTGTGTCAATGGGTGAGCAATACTGAAGGGCGCTTTTTGTTTGTTTGTTTGTTTGTTGTTTTTTTTTTTTTTGGGGGGGGGGGGTTTTGATGGGGGGGGGGGGGGGGGGGCGGGGGGCGGGGGGGGGGGGGGGGGGGGGGGGGGGGGGGGGGGGGGGGGGCGCACGCCACATTATATACCGGCACAAATGGGCAGGGCGTGTAGATGTAAGAATGGGAAACTGTTTCTTTAAATCGTGCGTGTGAACGCATGAAATTTTATGTAAGTACGGGCAAATCTTTTAATATGGATATTGCTATAAAGCATAGTCCCCAAAGTTATTGCTGTACCGGTATCATTTTCATGCCGTATAACGTCGTCGTCGACCTGCTTTGTCCTCTGAACAGAATCTCAGCCAGTCAACTCCAGGTCCTCGTGGGAGACTACGACCTGACCCAAGTGGACAGCGGGGAGGAGCTGGTGCCCGTCACGAGCGTTGAGCTGAGCAGAAATTACGCCCATGGCAGACGAGGTGAGACACAATTTTATAAGAACAAGTGGTCAGTAGGCGGGTTGACGTAGACAGGGTGACGTAGGCAGGGTGACGTAGGCAGGGTGACGTTGTTTTCTTCTTTTTTTTCCTCTGCTGACGCGATGACGTGATGATGCGTTTGTGCATGTAAAAACTGAAGACGCCATGTTTAAATACTGTTTTGATCTTATTTGGTGCAACGGTCGAAAATCCAGACGAATATTCTTTTACATAACGCGAATAATACCAACAATGACCTTTACAACAATGACCTTTACCATTGCCAGGTAACGATTTCGCCGTGATCAAACTGGCCAGGTCCATCGTCTTCACGCCAACCAAGATGGCCGCCTGCCTGCCGGATCCTAACGCCCAGGTTTTGCCGCAGGGCAATCCAAAGTCTCAGTGCTTTGTGGCCGGTTGGGGCATAACCGAGCGTCGACAAGGTGAGAAGCAGGATCGTCTTTTCAGGGGCGTTGGAAAGTGGGGGGGGGGGGGG